TATCAAACAACTCAGCATCTATCAAATACCTCAGCATAAATCAAACACCTCAGCATGTATCAAACACCTTAGCATGAATCAAACTCTTCAGCGTGTATCAAACTCCCTGAGAAGTCTCTTAGTTCTCTTTTTGAAGTCCCTCAGACATGGACCAAAATAAAATTTAAGGTATAACCCTCATATTGGACTCTACAAGGTACTTAACAATTGACAACTTGGTCAGTAATAAGCCTTAACCATTTACACGATATACACGCATTTCAACGCCTTTTAACGCCTTTTTCACCCCTCCCCCCTTTGTTGTCTCCAATGGTGAAAAAAATGCCTTATTTAGGCCCCAACACTTGTTTTTGTTTGAGAAATGTTTAAAAAAGTGACCACTTAATCGGCGCGGCCCCTATCCAAAGGTACATCAGGGGGTTGCCAGAAGGGGGGATGAACCCCTTCTGTTGGGGGGGGGGGGGGTTGAAGGGGCGGCATTCCCCCTCATCGTCAAGAAAAATTTAAACTTGTGAGAAGCTAAACCTGACCCAGATTGATCATAAGGTAACGCGTAACTAACGCTGAAAAGCCTTTGTCTCTATCTCAATCCATTGACAAGTTGCAACACTTTGAATTCAATTTTGATGGGAAAAAATCAACCCAAAATATTGATTTTTGGCAATTTTAAGATGTCCCCTCGTTGCCATGGTAACAGGAAATTTAAGGCTGAGCAGCAAGTTGTTGCAAAGTTAATTGTCCAGTCAACATTTGTGCCAAGTTTAGTTAGTATTGAAGCAGTTTTTATAGTTTTATAGCAATTTGAACTTGTAACGGGAGACTTTTCAATGAAAACAACCATTTTTTACAAAATGCTCATGCAGTAATGGGTTAAATGCCCTTTATGGCCCAGAAATGCCTTTTTTTTTCATTAAAGTTTCAAAAATGTTACTCATTGACCAATTACCTGAACCACTTTTTTCTTCTTTTTTGTTTTAGCAATTTGTACAGTTATAGTGATTAAGTATTTTGTATGGAAGTCAAAATCCTTGTTTGATTACATTTTGTTACTTTCATGACAAATAAGTTCACATTTAGGGCTACCTTCTTCATACAATAAGCATCTTATATGATCTTAAACCATTATTTAAAACTCATGCTTGCCCTTTCTGAAGAAGTAAAAATTTATTCATTTCCAAGGTAGAAATGTGCCTTCAAAGAAAGTCTGTATGCAATAATCAAACAAAGTTTAGGACACTGATCTGAACAAAAGCTTAGGTGTTGGAATGGCTGTGGTTCTAAAAATGAGGAAACTCTAATTAACATCCTCCTCATTCCTATTGATCAAATAACATTCATATAACTGAACAAATCGCACAAGCAAAATGACCGTTTCTACTCAAATTGTTTGAAATATGTATAATTTGAATTTTACCCTACTCAAAAATATATTCATTATTGTTTGATCATGTCAAATATGAGATACTTTTACCGTGCAGTTTTTATTTTATTAGACTTTGAAAATAGCAGGTACCGTATTTGTTTTAAATTCTAGAATTATTTGGACAAATTAAATACCTAAATTAATTATTTGATAAAAAATAAACATTTTTCCCTTTAAAAAGGAATCTGAGAAATATATACATGTAGATAATAAAAAGAAGAAAATTAAAAGTTGCTCCTTCTGGGGTTTGAAACGTGGCCCTTCAGTTTCTATGCAGTTAAAAGTGATTCTAATCTAATTGTTATAAAAACTCTTCAATGCGAAAGAAATGCAGCAGGAAGGGCATACTATGCATTTTTTTGCAAGAAAGAAAAGATAATAAGAGGCAAGCATCCATGAACATGTGGTTTAGACCACTTGCCTGTTTACCCATGTGAGAAAGGTATCCAGCTACCTTACGGAACGTCGTTGGTTCTACTCAAAAGTATCCGTTTGTACCTCTTCAATATGACCAATACTGTTTTGGTGCGACGTGAAATCCAACCAAAAAAAGAAAGGTAATGATTAAAACATTATTCTTATGCTACTTAAATATAAATGCCATCAATGCATTTTATCATTTGGTATAATTTGGTATTTGTTCACTTTAATCGAAGGAGATAAAATACCTTTGCCTTTGGCTTTAGTGAGGTGATTCTACTGAGAGTTTTTGACAGGCAAAGATTGGAAATATTTTTTTTCGAGATTTTTATTATAACTTTGATGTAAGTCTAGACCAATAACTTCTCTAAAATCTCACTACCTGTTTTCAGAACAATTTTATCGTGCACATATGACTACAACCGTGTATAGTTTTGTTATTTCTTTTGACTTGACATATAAATATATTTTAAGTATTGTATGTGTGGCTGATGCCTCTAAGAGGCCCAGCATTTTCAATAAACTGTTCAAACTGTTCATTTCCTTTTTTGTTATAGTATTTATATCGTCGGAGCCCTAGGTTCACATTCCGTATATGTACTACATTTAATGATACGGTATACAGTAAATACTAGTAGACTGGGTTACTGAGGATATAGTTTTAAGAGACCAAAATTATTTTACTCAAAAAACCACATATTGAAAACAATTATTTGTCACAATGTTTTTTTCTGCATCTGTTGTACATACATTGTTGAGATAGATTTCAAATATTTCAGACACGTTATGTCAGCAAAATATAACTGCTTTCCTTCTGTAGAAAATGGTAAATGTTATAGATAATGGTTAAAGTATGGTGGCTGATTTGGAACACTATTGTGCGTCGTGTTAATGCTAGCGACAGCACGACAAAAGCCAAACGGCGAGATGTCGGAATTTTGTCTTGCCGTCCTGTCGCTAACGATTCACGCCAAACGGCGCGTTGTCGTGTGGCGTCTTGTAGCGATGGCACATTGTCGCTCGGCTCAAATCGAAGAACTGGCTATATATAAGCCAAGCAACAGGGCACCATTGCGACAATGCGCCGCACGACAACTTGCCGTTTGGCGTGCTTCGCTAGTGACAGGACGACAAGACGAGTGCGAGAACGCGCCATAAAGCTAGCGACAAGACGAAAAGGCGGTAACGATATAGGTTGTGTTGTCGGTATCGACAACGCAACGCGCAAAGTGTTCCAAATCAGCCACCATATTTAAGAGCATGTTTGATGCTTATCACCTGAAGAAAGTACGGTTGAATGTGAAAATAGTTGTGAAGAAAGTAGCAAAATGTAAATAACGTAGTATTTTGACTTCCATACAAGAAACTAAACACTATACATTTATCAATTGTCAAAAGATAGTTAGACAGTTAGAATATGAATAAAATTCTGGATACTGTAAATGACTTTGAGAAATAGAAATAAATGCATTTCTGTGACATCATGGGCCCTTAAGCATATGTCAAAAGTATTTCTTTTGATGGAGTGATATTCATTGATGCTTTTATGTTAATTGTTGCATTAGCTTTATCTAAAGTTATGCAGTGATAACAAAATATGTAAGAGGAAAATGATGGACTAGAGAGGTAACAGGGACTGCGTAAGTTACGAGGATAATATGTGAATAAAGAGAACAAGTTAAAGAATGAGGATAGTAAGTAACAAAGACAGGGTAAATAACAAGGATATAATTATAGAGTAACGGAGATAAAAAAAGTGACGAGGATGATATAAGTAACATGGACAAGGTAAGGAAGTAGGAGCAGAAAAGGGAAAAAGATATTGTAAGTAACGAGCACATGGTGAATTATTAGGATAATACTAGTATCAATCACGAGGGCAGGGTAAGGAACGATGATAGTGTAAGTATTAACAGGGTAACGTCAGAGGATAGTGTAAGCAACAAAGACAGGGTAACGTAAGAGGAAAGTGTAAGTCACAAGGACAGGGTAACGTAAGAGGATAGTGTAAGCAAAAAAGACAGGGTAACGTAAGAGGAAAGTGTAAGCAACAAGGACAGGGTAACATAAGAGGATAGTGTAAGTAACAAGGACAGGGTAACGTTAGAGGAAAGTGTAAGCAACACTGACAGGGTAACGTAAGAGGAAAGTGTAAGTCACAAGGACAGGGTAACGTAAGAGGGATAGTGTAAGCAAAAAAAAGACAGGGTAACGTCAGAGGATAGTGTAAGCAACAAAGACAGGGTAACGTAAGAGGAAAGTGTAAGTCACAAGGACAGGGTAACGTAAGAGGATAGTGTAAGCAAAAAAGACAGGGTAACGTCAGAGGATAGTGTAAGCAACAAAGACAGGGTAACGTAAGAGGAAAGTGTAAGTCACAAGGACAGGGTAACGTAAGAGGATAGTGTAAGCAACAAAGACAGGGTAACGTAAGAGGATAGTGTAAGTAACAAGGACAGGGTAACGTAAGAGGATAGTGTAAGCAACAAGGACAGGTAACGTAAGAGGATAGTGTAAGCAAAAAAGACAGGGTAACGTAAGAGGAAAGTGTAAGCAACAAGGACAGGGTAACATAAGAGGATAGTGTAAGTAACAAGGACAGGGTAACGTTAGAGGAAAGTGTAAGTAACAAGGACAGGGTAACGTAAGAGGATAGTGTAAGTTACAAGGACAGGGTAACGTAAGAGGATAGTGTAAGCAACAAGGACAGGGTAACGTAAGAGGATAGTGTAAGCAACAAAGACAGGGTAACATAAGAGAATTGAATTAGTAACGGGAACAGAGCAAGGTAAGAAGATAGTGTAAGAAACAAGGACAGGGTAACGTAGAAGGATAGTGTAAGTTACAAGGACAGGATAACATGTGAAAAGTGTAAGCAATTAGGACAGTGTAAGGTATAAGGATATTGTAAGTAGACAGGAAAGCTGAGAACGAAGATATTATAAGTAATTAAGACAGGGAAAGGTATGAAAATTATGTAAGTTACGGGCAAGCAACAGGGAAAGGTTTTATAGCTCAATTTTGATTTTGTAGAGACGATTATTTTTTATTTACAACATGCTTTTTTGTTGCTTTTATATTGACTATAGCATTCGTACTTTTCGTTGACTTCTTCATGTATTCTGCATTTCTGAACCTTTATTATTTGTAATTTCAGATTTAAAACAACAGAATGTCAAGGATTGTGTGTTTAGTCGCCCTGGTGGTAACACTCCCGATACTAAAAGCCCAAGTTATGATGGACCAAGGTATATACTGTTACACTGATAATGTCATTATGTTTGAAATAGACTGAATATTCATAGTAAATAAAGTATTATATACATAATATATATATACTTAATTTCTTTGATATCATGTGCCACATGAAATAATGTATGGTCTATTATATGATTTAAGACACTGGAAACATTGGAGTACTTGATGCACTTATGACTGGTGGGTCAAATGTCACGGATCGACCTAGGACAGATTTCACTGGTCGGGCAGAAACTGGAAGAGTGAGCGGAGTCACTTTCCCCGCAGAAAGGGGAGGGGGATTTAGATTTGAAGACCGTGGAACCGGAATGGTTGACCGTGGTATGGGAACAGGAATGATTGACCGTGGTATCGGTACGGGAATGGTTGACCGTGGTATAGGAATGGTTGACCGTGCTATGGGCACAGGTCCAATTGGTTTCGGCCGTCGTGACCGAAATGATACAGGTACATTATCCCTACAATACATGTATTTACAGAATAGTTCGGTTTCGACATTATCCAAGTATCAAAGAATTTTCCTTAAAAAGTTTAAAAAAAAAATTTAGGATCAAATCAAATCATGTGAATTCTTAAAGATCCTGTATGTCGTAATTAAGGTTGTTATCACACTTACGTGAAATTTTATATATGTATGTAATTATGCTTCTAATACAATTTTCAATCATCGAGGAATATGAAAATTATGAATTGCAAATTTCGTCTCCATTATATGTTATCATGAAAATATGCTTTCATTTCTTATTAAAATATTTGACTTAGACTTTATACAAAATAAATTTTTGATTACCTCACTTTATCATCTCGGTAATATCAGATGGAAACATTTTGACAGATATCACTATTTTTATACCTCTGTAATAACTAATTATTATTATGTTATATCTAAAACAAGTTTTGATGTTTACTATATTACAGTTCTGTCTCCAGGCCTGGCGTCTATAGAGCAAAGACGTTTGAATCGACGTAAGTGTCACAACAACTTTATTTTCATAGTCTTCAGATCTACATAAGTTATATTTTGCCGATGATTTGCTGTTTGAAAGGTCACGAGAAGGTGACCTCCTATTGGTACCCGTCTGATCCTTATGCGTAGCGTTAATTTGTAAGATTGATAGTAACAAATGCTTAAAATATAAATAAAAGATACAATTAATATAGTTAAGAAATAATATATCCAAAACAGTGATTTTATAGCTCAATAACATCACTGTTTGGAGTTCGGATGCGAGGAATTGTATCACGAGGGCGTACCCCGAGTGATATAATGATGCGCATCCGAACGACAAACAGTGATGTTATCAAGCGATAAAATCACCGATTTGGATATTTTATTTCGATTCTTACACGACATCAACAAATAAATGCTGTCGTACCTGATATTAAACAAAATTGGATTTAGCTCAATACAGGATTTGAGCAGTACCTCTAGACGCTTGCAGAAATCATGATCACAAAATAGACAAATATCGTTTTTTTCGCCGATTTTTACATTTTTCCTTCATTATCGTACTTAATTCGGTGTGAAAAGATAAATTAGACCTGTTTAAGTTCATTCCGTTGGGTTAAAAGGCAAGATTTTAGCATTTTATCATTCAAGCGCCTTGTCCGGTATGAACCGGAATACGGTATTTAGTGTGGTGCTCCAATCCTTTTTTTAGTCTCACTCAACAAAATTGCGCCTGATTTGTTTCCGTACTTATTTTCAGCGCGTTGGATTTTTTGTGGTTACGTCACGTGTATAATGATTACGTCACATGTCTAAATATAGAACGTCAAACTGTGACTCTGTTGCATAATAAAACACACTTTCGGTGTCGTGTTAGAATTAACTATAATAAATAAGAGATATAATGTAGGGTGTTATAACATGTTTTGTACAATTTGTGCAATTTTTATTATAAGTATTGTACGATCGATTTATATGTGATATGGTTTATATTTTTAAACTCGAACATTATCTTGTATCTCGATTTTAGTTTGCGCGGAGAAATGTAAAACTGAGCATTGTTACCTGGCCGACGAATTAGACTGTCGTAATTTTATAAATTGTCAGCAGGACATGAGAGGTAGTTATTATGCTACACTACAGCCATGCGCATTCGGAACGTATTGGGCAGGACTTCAGTTACAACAGAAAATTACGTGTGATGTACCGGAAAACATAGTGTGCAATATAGGTAGTTTAACATGTTTTCTTGGGTTTTCAGGTTATTTTTAGATGGAACAATCATTTTTGTATAGCATTCTAAATGAACAAAATTGCTGACATTTGGAGTAATGAAGAATTTTTTTTTGACACATTATTGTAGACCAATTATTTACAAAACAATGAAGAAACTATAAATGTGATGTCTATGTGAAGATAACTTTCGTCAACTGTCACGTGACGATGACGTTTCAGTTCCTTTGTAATCTTAAGTGGAAAAGTCTGCTTAAATTAATTTTCAATTTCTAACTTCATGAAATATATTTTTTTTGTAAAAAAAATAAATGTAAAGAAGTCAGCGTTTTGAATGGATTGAAAACCTTAAGTAAATTCTAGTTTTTTAACTAGAGACGATCTGTAGAAGTTTTATGCCATTTTATGCATTGGTCTGCTTCCACAGCTTTTAAAATGGAAATATGTATTGGATAAATTAGCCTCATAAGCGTTATTTTTAAACTTGTCAGCCTTAACTTTTCTGCGTTGTACGGACAATTTTTACTCTTAAACAATCATATGCCCAGTACAGTTTTAAGATTTCAAATTCACAATTCAATGTACAAAATAATATAATACATATTTATGTTTATATAATCACTTAAATTACAATATGCAGAATTACATTCACTTCATTTTTTTTGGAAACATTATTGAGTTTAGAATACATGACAATTATTTTAGATTACTGCGCCGGTCTAGCTAATGGTGCCAGGTACGACCACCCTGACGGAAACTGTAAAACATACTGGAGATGTGGAAGAACCGGTACTTTTTTCATTATATTTAATTAAAATAGTTACATTGCCAACTGTCTATGTTTTATGGAAACAGCTACAATCTAAAGGAACTTTATAGAGGAACTTTTAATCAAAGTACGGGTTGATACCATGACACGGGTTGATAGAGAAACTTGAAACCGAATTACAAGTTGATATAACCAAGGTACCGGTACATAGAAGTCCTTGAAACCCGGGCACGGGTTGATAGAGAGACTTTAAACCGATGTACATGGGATTTATACACAATACATATTTAAGTAACTAGTTGTTACTGTATTGGTGGAGCCTCCGATAAACACACTTCTTGACTGTAAACAACTTATTGTTGCTACAAAATATTATGACTGGTTGAATATAACTTTAATACTTGGCTTCAAAAACATGCTTAGAGCATGATGATGTCTTTTATAAAATATATAGTACCTTAAATGGCGGGCGAATCTTCATTAACTATACTTTGATGTCTTATCAAAGACTTTGGTAAATAACGGTTTAATTGTAACAAGGACTTGATTATGTTACTTTTTAATTGCAGGTAAACCGGAACCAAGATGTTGTCAAGATGGGTTTAGATTTGATAACAGACTGAACGAGTGTGTCCAAGATCTACTTGGCAGGTGTCATGATAAATGTCCAATTAAAACAGGTATTTTCAAAATATCTTAAATAGATCCTCTAGATCTTTCAATGACAACATAGCAATGTGTCATTTTAGGCACATTTCAAAATTAGTAGTGACTGCATAGCGAACAGTGCCGCCTATGACTTTGGTCACATTAGAAGAATCAGTTGAAAGGTTATACATGTATACACATTTAACAAAAAATAAGACTAAGCGCCGCGCCATACTGAGGAAAAATATACATGTGTGAAAAAATAGAACTTAACAATTTGACATTGCGCTTTTCTAGCTATCATATGAAATTTATCTACACATGTGTACGATAAATAAGTTTAGTATATTGTTTATACTTATTTATTTTAGTTTGATTGTGTTTGAAGCTTTTAGTTTATTGTAACACTGTCGATAAATTGATATGTTAATAAATATATCTTTAATATTACTAACTTCTATCTATAATGGGTAATGTGAAGATATTTTACCCAATTATAGGCATTTTTCCATTTCTTTGAAGGTTTACAAAGTGACTAAATGTTTGATAAGAGATGAAAGAGTTTGAATCTCTTTGAAACTCTTATTCACTAATTTATTACATTTCAGCACACAATCTTAAATTTTAATCCCGAAACAATTACATGTAGGCAGGCATATATTTTATTTTCCCTGTACAGACGCATGCGTTGGTAAAGGCAACCAGACAGAATTTTTTGATGATGGAAATTGCGTTACATTTTGGGATTGCGAAGATTTTAATCCACATCCGGTTTGCTGTCCAGAAGGTCAAGGTTATGATGCTGTTAGAGGCTGTATCAATAATCCTTTATGCAGGGACATATGCCCTGACCAGTACAAACCCGGTTTGTTGCTTTTGTTCTTAATATATATATTTGTATTTGAATATAATAACGTATTTATGAGTCGGTATATGGTACTGTAAAGTAGCCCTCCTTATTCAAAAATGGGTCGACAATTCTATTTACTCACGACTTTATGAGAATAAAAGTAAAGTGTTCGAAGATATTGAAGATATTTCGAAACAAAATAGGATTTAAATTCATAAACACTGTTGTTGTTTTTTGTCTGTCAACCAGACAATATGACAGATGTTCAAATATTTCAATTTTTGTACTTTCATTCTACAGATATCTGTCTTCGACCAAACGTTGAGAAATATTCACTGTTAGATGGATCTTGTAGAACATACATGAGATGTAACGCGGTCGAAGGTGATGAACGCTGGTGTTGTCCATCAAATTTCGTGTTTGATGGAAATACACAATCATGTATTGAGAAAACCCCCGATATGAATCTAACATGCTCAGATGTGTGCCCTGGTGGTTTCAAAGAAGGTTTGTTCAACATGTTTATGTTTGTGTATTAGCTACAATATCTCCTTATTTTCAACAAGTTGTACCCACTTACATGGAAGCAATATGTCTTATGTAATTTTACGAGTTTTTTTTTTGGACATTTTGGGTCTGGACTTATAACTATGTGCACAATTTCATTTGCTAGAATTATATACATGTATTATGTAAACTGACCCACAATTGGAAGCTATTAACTCAAGTCAGCATAAGAATCGCACAAAACAACAATTTTCAGTTTCATTCTGTGTATATTTAATTTATTATCGCTGTATATTTTTACATTCAAGTGCAGCAGGTGATCTATGTAAGAATCTAAAATTATATGTTTTATATATAGTTTGGACCTCAGTGGACTTTCTTTTAACTGAACGAGTTTCATATTTCAGTATGTCCACTTAGACCAGCTTTTAACGAATCAGATCATTTTCTGACATTTTCACATGGTATCCCAACAAAGATGCCATGTGCTCCGGGAACAGAGTTTGCCTTGTATGCATGTGGCTGCGGAATACCAGTTGAAAATCCTCCAGATAATTGTATGTTATTTTGGCTAATATTACGTTATGTTATTTTTTGAATGATCATGTTGTACAACTAAGACTGTTAAAACATAATTTTGTCATGCATATATTGCTAATAATAATAATAATAATAATAATAATAATAATAATAATACATTTGATGTGTAATTCTAAAAATGTATTCTGTTTAATTTACTCCACATTTACAAATTATTTTACACATTTTCGGTCGTTACTTTAGATTGTAAGAAGAATTAGATATGCGCTTGAAACAAAGCTGATGGCACGCACTTTGGACGGATTCAGTTTCGCTGTTAAATTGTTTACTGATACCCGAGATTATCTGCAACAGATATAAAGAACTTGTTTGAACAGATGTCATTTCTTATTGATCAAGATATAGGGTATTTATTACATATAGACCTGTACATATCATTATTTCAGCATGTGCCCTTGAACTTGATATATTGTTTGACGCCCCAACTTGGCACAGACTCGGAAGCCAGAGTGCTGTAAAGATAGAAAGTATTGGAACAATAGGGGAAGGTATGTTCAACTTTTGCACTAGACTTTCATCACATTTTATCATACAAAGTTGATAAGAGATTAATGTAAAACTTCGATATCCTGGTCGCATTTTTTATTATATTTAACAGAATTTTAGACGTTTTGGGCAGTGTGATGTTCTTAGGTGTTTTAAAGTGTTTTATATAAGAAGTTCTATACGTTTCAATTGTATAAAATTGTTAACATAATTATAATGAGGTGTGTACAACAACCGGTCTTGTTCACATAATTGTGTACATTACAGTGTTCTTACTTGTAGCTTTTACATGACTTCAAATGAACTATATATATCTTAAAAGAAGTATCTGCAGTGTAGAATATTAATTCATTTTACAGGGCCAAAACTGAATGGCAGAACTTCTTTCAAATTCAATGGAGATTTATACTTCCGAACACCATTTTTCCAGTCTCCATATGAAAATCTTTACATTAAGGTAAGTTGTTTCTGAAAAATAATTATAGTGAAAATAAACTTATCAAGGAAACCCATGTTGAAGCTGTAAAATATATCTATTTCTACATCCTTTTTTGACAAGAGCGCCATAATTTGGCGCCCGCCATAATTTGGCGCTGATTTTGTTCTTTTGGACAGGTCTGAAAATCATCCAGTGTCAAAGTTCAATCTGTACATGTACATTTAAATCCGCAGGGATAATTACGGGTATTATTTGAATAAACTTAAAAATATAGTGACCGTCTCAGCCGCTTTTATGTATGCTTAGAGGAGTAACCGTAAAGTAGATTTTACGACGCCAGCAATTTCCGTGACTGTCTTAACAAACCGCTGACACCTGATTTTTTTTAAAATTTCATTTCTTTTAAGAAAACGTGGTAGTGATTACCTCGTTTATGTTGTTATGATTTGCGGTGAAATAAAACTGACAGCTCCGTCCCTATATTGCTACGAGGCCGTTTCTAACACCAGATACATGTATTGTTGCTATCAGAAAGGTCTAATGTCAATTTATATTTCGACAAGCTACACACTTATATCATTTAATGTTTATCTTGTTGTATATTTTTATTGTTGTATATTTAGTGGACTTCTTTTTATTTTCAGCTTGTATATTTACCTGAAGCAGATGGCTCCATTGGAAACTACAAGCAAATTCTTTTGTCAAACTGTATGAGAGTTGATCTCGGAGCCCCGTCTCTAGAATTATATTTACAGAATAATGAGTTGATCCTTGAACTGGCCACTGACGGAACACAATTAAACACCTCCTTCCCGAATCTAGCTGTTGGAAAAGTCCAATATACAGTAATATGATCATGATATTTCTTGTTAGGTTCTATTATGTTATTTTATCCGTTAACTTACATTTATATGTTATGAAAAAATATGTGGAAGATATATAAATTAAATCCTATATTGTACAATTCAGTCTAACTGACATATTGTACTATAAAGTTATTATACAGTGTTGAGTACAATACTGAATATATCGGACGAATATACAGCAGTCAAACCTATATTGAGTAACTTGCCGGTTGTGATGGTAGAATATCCGTCATTTCGTCGTCTGACAACTATCGTTATCCACAATTTCTTTATACAACATCTCCTAAACTACTTGATCGATTTTGATAAAGTTTCACATGAGTGTTTCTTAGGTCCTCTACAATAGTTATATAATTAGTTCCAGTCTGGTGCATTATTAGGTCACAGGAACTAACATATACTTTATTTGGTTCACTTACATTACATAGACTTGTGTAGTAAAAATGTCTTAAAAATCTTCTTCTCCGAAAGAACAGTGATTGTGGTCTTCTATAACTGGTATATAAAACATGTCATTGGGGTCAAAATGGCCCACACCCGGTGGTTTATTTAGACTTGTATAAGTAAATATTAAGTCTTCTTTTGTGAAACTAAAATGTCAAGAGCATTTTGCATTTATCCTAGTGGATCTCTACATAATTTACATAAGTCTTGTCCCTGGGATCAAAAATCGCCCCGCTCTGGATGTCACTTAGTTAACATTAACTTTTATAATGAAAATGTCTCAGTTAATATAGACTTACACAGTAAAACATTTTAATAAAGTATTATCGTGCAAGGAGCATGAAGCATTTCGTAGCAGACAACTACATATATCTTTTTAAAAAGTATGCTTCTTTTGGTAAAAATTACCTCATTACTGACTTTAACATTGAAAAATAAAATTAAAATAAAATAATGACCTTTTTTCTAGCAATGTATCTCAGGTGAGCGGTCCAGAGCCATGGCGGCTCTCTTTTTATATAATCAAGTCAAATTTTATTAGAAATAGGCCTGTCTCTTGCAGTGCAGATACATGTTTTTGTGCTGTTTTTAATGTTTATTCTCCGATATAAAAATGTTTTTGATTTAAGACAGATTTATAATTTACATTTAAGCCTGGAATGTGGAATACACTAACTGTCATTTACAATGGTCGTGATGTGTACATGCTGAATGAAGGAACAGGATTACCTACCTTTGATAGAAAACCACTCACGGGTAAAAACATGTAAAAATATAATCTCCACAAAACGACGCATTATTTGCGTGTGATATTTGTCATAAATGAAACTTGTCATAAATATAAGATATATTTGGATCTTAATATTATTTCGTCGATTACACAAAAGTCTCGCTACATTTTTTATTTTACATTCTTTACATTTTTACGATTCTCTTAAACGTATGTTGTTTTTAATTAAAACAGGAGCTATCTCCGTGGCTGCTGAAGGGCTAGACTTTGGAGGATGTTACACACATAGAAATCGTACCGAGGGATATATGGGCTCCTTAGCTGAGGTAATGTATACGCCCCTGTAATATTATATATAAAAAAGTTAAAAAAAAATAATAAAATAAATAAGATCATACCTTTTAGTTCGCTCTAGAACAGTTTATTTGTGTCTACGTTTCTTTATTTATTTGTTAAGCACATTGGAATTCTTTTATCTAACAACTAAGATATGTGTTTTTTACTCAGAGATTTTATTAGCGATATATGTAATTTATTCTTACATATACGTACATATACGTCACAGAGTATGTTATATTATCATTGTATATAGAAGTGATGTCACTTATTATGTCATATCTTTATTTAACAGCTCCAGTTCTCCAAATGCTTGCACCAGAAATGGATCGATACTTTCAACGCGAATCTCCCGGATCAGCCTTGATCAACGTTTATAGTTTTTTTTATTAGAAACATATAGACCTTTTTACAATACGATTTTCCATTGCAACGAATGTTGCATTTCGCGCATGCGCATTCTGCGTAGGGCAGAAAGCAATAACGATGTCTACAGTTTATCATACTTTAAGGCTTAAATAGATGCTGTTTCATGTTATGTCAACCAAAAAACATTAATTTTGGGATGTTAAGTACAGAAAACGTGAATTTATTTTTTAAGAGATCTACGAAAATGTGCGGGAGTAAAAATTTCATGGTCAAAACGGGCACACACATATCTTTGTTTAAGGTATCATTAGACGACTTTTCCATCAGTAATTTAAATTGAAACAGCAGGGTGTTAAAGATAAAATTTTATTACCCCTGTATAACATAATATTACACAATTTGTATTGTACACTTCCTTTCAATAACTGTATTGGTCAGGCGGCAAGTGTCAAACAGATTGGCACCCGAATGTTTGTTCATTGAACCGGGACGTTTAAATATCATGATATAGTTAATCAGTTACGCTTATTAAAATGGTAATTTACGTAACTTTTAAATACACCGATCAATGTTTATGGATTTTGAGAAGAGAAAAATTGTGTCACGTGCATAATTAAAAATAACATGTATTACGAAGAAGCGGATAAAATGTGTGTGATATCCTTTCCAAACAACCGATCTTAACATCTCAAGATTTTGAAAAAAAAATCAATTATTTAAAATCTATTCATGTGCCTTAAATTTTTCTGTTTGCATCACAGGCAAATCGTATAAAGGATAAAATCAGGTATATATTGAACACTAAAAATGCATTATCACCTGTTCTGATATTTTTCTGAATGATAATTTATCTCCATTTCATGATATATATTTTGTTTGTTTTTAAATGAACTATTTCAACAGCAAATAAGTTGACGTTTCATTTGCATATAGATATATCTCCACATCTTCTTTAAAATAATGATCTCAGTGTCAGTTCCGTGATCGTAAATTCTTAAACAAGTATCTTTTCATGCCTTTTTATGGCATTCTTCGCCACAAAGCTATAAAGTCATCTTTTCTATATTTGTTAAAAGCTATTTTATATAATTTTCTACCGTTTACCTTGAACTTACTCGGAATTGTCTATGAACTTTTACTATATTTCTATGTAGGGCGAAGGATTTCTTGCCCTACGCAGATTGCGCATGCGCGAGAAAATTCTAATTCCGGTCGATTTTTCATAGCAACGGACCGCGTCGTAAAAAGGTCTATATATAATTTCGTCATGCTACATACTTTTGAGCAGTATATAGATACATGTACAATTTTATGTTGAAACAGTTTTATAAACCGCCATTCTCTAAATTATACCAAACAACTCGGAGTAATTTATCATGGGCATCTTTTGATACAAAATTTAAATATAACAAGTTTCAAATATTTTATATACATTTATTTAGAAACTTTCTATTCTGTAATTTGACAATTTGTCACATGACTCTAATCTATAATTACATATATGAAAGATTGCCACACCATTTCGATGATTTCATTCATCCGTTTAAAAGATTAAAAGTATTTGATGAAAATGAAGTGAAATGAAGTGAGTTTTTATTCAATCATAATAAGTATTTATTAGCATTTGAAAAAACAACCTTACTCTTTACTGTTATTTGACGAAAATCTGAAATGATTAATGTTGATTTTTAGCTTCTTTTACAACACTTGCATTCTAGTTAATACCTAAATAATAAAAATGGTGACAAAAACATTCAAGATTACTTCCTGAAATTTCTAAAATATCATAGTATACCATATAATAATTTGTAAACAGTGTAATATCAACTCATATTGTATAGGGAGAGAGGTTACAGCATTATGACACAATATGTATCACTATAATTATCATAACATATTCACAAACTAATGCATAATAAACTGCTATATACTAAAATGTCTCGTGTTTGTATTTTCTTACAATATTATATAGTATGAGATTATTATACATTGCTGAGTACAATATTGATTTTATTGGACGAATTGTCAAATTTGACGAGACGCTATCCTGGTCCGATATAGATGTGTACGGGATCTATAATAATCAATATAGTATTGTTCTCAATCATGTTAAATGACCTCTGTATTTCACACATGTATTTTGACAGAACTTTGTTACTTCAATAAAATATCAGTTTTATACTCAAAAAATGAAAACGAGGCTATATTGGGTGTGATATAGATTTGATATGAGTTTTTTTGGATTCTGGGAATGAAAACGAGGCTATGTATGGGTTGTGATACGGATTTTGATATGAACGTTTTGGACACGAAGCTAACTTCATAAAATTGGATTCAGTGATAAATTTTATTGAAGTATCTCTTGGTGCAAATGCTAAAAATGCATTGGCTCTATTCTATATGGTGAGTGGAACAACCCTGGCGAGACGTTATACTTGCAAAATTGAAAGCAGCCTTTCAAAATATTTCTGGTGTGTTGCAGCGGTTTTTCTAAGAAGAGCGTGTGGTATATTAGGTGCAAAAATATGAAAAAATATCTCATAGTAGTCGTTTGCCTTCTTTTGTGTACATGTTTATCAGACAAACTAAGAATATTTAAATCTACACGTATAAAACACTTGTATTTGATGTCCATACTCCTAGATTAAGCATTTTTGATGTAATAACCAGAAATATTGTCCGAAATCAAGTGAAATTTTGTTTTGAAATGTTTTTAAAAGTTACATATATTTAATGAAGGACACTGTCATTTTTTTCACAATCTGCTACCTACATAAACTTATCTTAATATATTGATATATATATATTACAAAAAAAGACATGACTTGTGTTATAACACAGCTGTGAAAGTGGGTCAACAACCCTACGGTGGATATCAAGGGTTAAAAACTTAATTTAATATGCGCGTTTTTATTCATATAATGAATCGTATGCCTAGAAATTCAACTTAGATATTATGATTTTAGGAAATTTTCTACGTTTTTCAGAAAGTATTGAAATTGTTTAAAAAGCAACGATCTTGTATTTCAAGGGTTCTCTTTTTTGTCAGCTAAATCTTTGCAATTTCCATTGTTAAACGGGTTTATTTTTTAAGAAATTCTGTATATTAACGGAGAAAGAAAAACGAAAATATTTTATTGATTCCGTGAAATTTTGTATTTAGATTAAAGATTAACATAAACGAAAAGTAAATATTTAATATTTACTTTTATTAAATACAGGATTTGTTTTTTAAAACTTAACGATAGTCCTAAATCATCTTACCTTAAATAATAAAAATGTCAAAACAAGGGCAGATAACTAAAATCAAACTCATTGACCACTTATCTCATCGCTCAAAATGTTTCTAGTATTATATTCTAAGGTCACGCAAAACTTTAATAGTAATGAACGGAGGGAATTGTATAAATATAATTTCAATCAATATGGATTATCTCAACAAAAGAAGAATAAATTGCAATAGAATGAAATAAGAAATATATTGCAATCATGGACATACTTGCTTGTCAAACAGGCATGAACACATTTATGGATCATGAACACATATATCGGTCAATCATGGACATACTTGTCAAACAAGCACGAACACATCCATCGATAATGAACACATTCATCGATAATGAACACATTCATCGATAATGAACACATTCATCGATAATGAACACATTCATCGATTTAATCATGGACATACTAGTCAAACAGACATTACCATATAAATCGACCAATCATGAACATACTTGTTAAACAAGTGTAAGACATATATTGATCAATCATGAAAATACTTCAACAAGCAGGAAAACATATCGATCAAAGATGAACACAAATATATCGATCAATCATGGACATACTTGTCAAACAAACTTAAACACATATGGACATACTGGTCATACAAGATGAACAAAAAAATATAGATCAATCATGAATATACTTGTTAAATAATATGAACACATAAATATCGATTAATCATGGACATACATGGTAGACAAGCATAAACACATTTATCGATCAATCATAGACATACATGCCTAATAAGATGAACACATATATATATCAATCAATCATGGACATACTTGTTTAACAAGTACAAACACATAAATATATCGATCAATCAAAGATACATTTGTCGAGCATAGATATGAAGATGTATATTAGAATGATAATACAGACACTGAGATATAAGCAATACTTCAATATTTGAAATGATTTCGGCTTTAAATATGAACGTAAATATTTGAAAAGCTTTTACTACACGTCTTTCTTGTTATCAGCTGCCGATATATACCTAAACACTTGAGAGGGTTTATCTTCACACGGAGACAGAATTATTGTATTGTCTGCAGTACGCTCCATACATGTATTTGTTTTTATATGAAAAATGTGTCCGTTCTGAAATAATAAATATATAATGACACGTGTGACATTTAGCTAATTTGCATATATGAAGATAATTCGTTTTACTTCACATTTACATTTCAAAATTCATAAGCCGTTGTTACCTTGAGCAAGAAAGTTTACATTCATTGCTTAGTACTGGTTTGTTCCAGGAACGGATTCTAGAATGTTTCAATAAGCTTATAGTTTCCAGCACTATCGAGCTAAAATAAACTTTTATAAACCTAATAGATATTATAGATTTACGTTACAAAATCAGGTAAATGTAAAATCATTACTAGGAAATACTAATAAAGTAATTACGTCTTGTTTGATCCACTGCTGAGATTTTGGGTCAACCTCGCCACACATATAATACCCAACTTTAAGTTTCCGTTCATTATATCCCAAGCAGCCCTCTGACAGTCTATACTGATTGTTTTCTGTATACTTCCAAAGCTACAAAAACAGGATTTTAAAAAATAAAAAACTATAATATTTAAAAGTAATTAAGTGTTTGAAATTATTTTTGTCTTATAGGGTTGTAGTACAATTATTCTAAAGGAATCGTAACACATTTATGTTGGTTCATGTATATCGACAAACTATTAATCAGTAAAAACAAACATCGTAGGTTATTAAATAATATTTATGAGACACCATTTTTCTTTCAAGATGAATATATCTAGGTGATATTTTCCACATATTTCACTGAACAGAAGATATCCTTATTTATGACATTTTAGAATGAATGGTAGTGCTTGCTTTACATTTTCACCAAAACCACAATGGCAAATGAAATCCCATTTTTATTCTTAAACTACAACACCACACCAGCAACATTTATTTTTGACATACAACAGAACTTATAATACCCCGATTAGAAGTACGAAAACAAATGTCAGAGTCAGGTCTGGAGCTTATGCTCGAAAAAATCCAAAGTTTGCGAGGGTCATGGCCTTTTAATGCAATGATTTTATGCCAATTTCATGTAAACTAATCGAACGTACCAAAACTTTGATATAACATTTACTAGTTTAAAATCTGACGTGGCTTCGTAATATACCAAAGATGAGAAAAAATTATAATTGTATACTTTTGAGGCACATGTGTAGCTTTCCATATCTTATTTTGCTCACCTAACAAAACTATCCTAAATCTATTAAACAAGTTTTTACCTGATTTCCTAGCATGCCATGACATGGAATCATTGCTACTGGTTGACCATTCGGGGTACCAGTCATACTGTCTAAACACATTTCCGGTGTAGACCTATGTCCTCTTATCTATATACAACATAATGTATATATATGTAAAATACAAGTTATTATAATATAGGAAATCAGTAGATTAATGTACAATGTATTCAGTGATGATGCGACGTCTTAACTAGTCAAGCCAGCAAATTAGTTCGTCACTTATGTCAGCGACAACGGAATCCAAGACTTGAAATGAACATCCGGTGCTTTTCACAATTTTAATAAGGAAATTACATCTAGATTTATACATTCTATTAATTTGTTAAAGACATATTGCTGTAAGAGTGAACTATTGCAAATCTTCCTTCCTGCGGTTAGACACGTTCATGCTATTAGTCATTAAAAACACGCACATCAGTGTTCACATTTGATAGAAAACAAGCCTTAAAAATGCAAAGGGTCATAACTGAAAGACATTATTTGATTTTGATAAGCTTTATTTCTTATTACCATACATATTCTTCCTGAGTGATATTACAATTCAACCAACCAATTGTAAAATATAACAAGAAAATGGAAAATTTCGATATTTTTTAAGTAACAAAGAGCTAAACATCAAAAGGTAATGAGTTAATTTGATGATATTAGGTGAGCCTCATTTCACATTCCTGCTAAAAAAATTTACATGGACAATCTGTTTCTATCATATGGATTTGGACAAATGTATAACGTTTCAATATACTCATTTCGATTTTAATCGGCAGAGGATGACAAAACTGCAAATTGGCAACATCTAAAAATAGCATGGTTAAACAAGAATGAACTTCACGATTTCAAAAGAATGCTTTGGGATGTTCTTGAAGTGAATATATCTCTTGGTGCATTGAGAACTGACAGTCATATTTCCGGATACTAATATTTTAAAATAAGAGTGATAGCAATTGTTACTGATCGAATGATTGGACACCGAACTAAGGTGGTGAAACATTTTATTTTATTTTCAAAATACAATGTACGTTCACATTACAAAGTAGTATAATACAATTAAACTTTGAAAAAGTATTGCATTTCATACAAATGCAGTTTTATGCTTTGTTAGTCACAATTCTTCTCAAAATGTTATAAATAATGTTATATAATGTTCCTGCCATAAAATTTTGAATACTAGTATACTATATTTCAAAAATGAAAATGTTAGATTTACCTCGCCAACAAATCGGCTAACCGGTGGTATCTCTATCTCAGGAAATACGTTCTTGATGTACCACTGGAAAGACTTACAATTTAGTTGTTCACGTAATTTCTTTCTTTCTGTGACGTCACCATAGTCACCCTTAAAATACATTTAAAATAAACACAATGGTATATACTTGTAAAAACACAATTTGCTTATAAGGACAATGCGATTAATGGAAATGTAAATTATTTAATTTATAATCACGATGACGTATATATAATGAACACAATTCACCCACGTTTACTGAAGCTTATTTTTGCTGTATGAATGTGTAGTTGCATTACACAACAGAATATGCATGTATATATAGTTAGTGCATAAGTACGGTGGGTGTATATCATAATCAGATGATTATGTGTGAAAGAAATCGCAGTTTGAGTGTTTCAAAAGATCTGTGATACATATGCACAAGTTAATAAGTTTTGCAAACGTGATGAAACATATTTATTCCATAAACAAAGTGTGGATACTACAATTCTTTTTCAGAAAACAACGCTATTGTTATTAGGTTATCCTATCATTGAATAATGTAATGTTAGAAGTATTTCTAATGTTTACTGGTCATTTCATTAAGATGTATCTAGTGAATAACTTTTTAGAGCAAAAATTAAACATAATAAATGCTTAAAGCTAAGGGAAGTCAAACATTATCTTGCGTAAACACATCCGAAATATAACATCTTACCAGTCTATAGCCAATCTGTTCATAATAGAATTGTTTGTATTCATCAAACCAAACTTCGACAAGTCTTACACAATTACGTCTCAATATTTTGTTGATATCTTGACCCCATTTATACGGACTTGTTCTGCGGAACACGTGAGCAACGTGGGAACAAGGATGTATTTCTAGAGACCCTCCACACATCCATATCTATATTATCAAACCTTATAGTTAATTACTTACATGACAACTTCAGACAAACAATTACATGAACACAATAATGCTAATCTCAATGTGTATTTCATCATACTTGATGTGAAATGTAATGTGACTAAAGGTATATCAATGTTAAATATTATTGACTGAAACAACAAAATGTCTAATGTGTACAACACGATGTCTAATTTGTACAACACAATGTCTAATTTGTAACAACAGGCCAGATGTTACCAAACCGTATCTTACATTTTTATATATGTATGTATGATTTAGTAAATTATTGAATTATGTCACAACCAAATTTTGTCAAACATTACCTAAAACAAAGATTCCCCTGAATCACATATGGTATAGTAAAAAAATGCTCATCACAAATGGTACAGTTCAATAATGAATCAGATGACATGATATATTCAAGTCTGACAAAGTAAACCAATGCCTCACACCATGTATTAAACAGCTTAACCTTTACTTCAATCGCATACGGTATACTATGCCAAAGTTAAAGCATGGCCCTTGCATATGATATGGTAACTTATTAAACATGATATTGTAAAGTAAACTTGGCTGACATAGCATGTTGAAGTTAACTTGCTTAACATAGCATATTGTAAATTCGACTAGCCTAACAAAGAACATTGTAAGTGGAATTTGCCTAGCCTTAACTTATTGTATAATTGCCGAACACAACATTTTATCAGACATAAGAAATCATTACTTTAAACTGACCCTTAAAGATATTTCAATGTTTTCAAACCCCCATATGTCCATGCCGGCATCATATTGTCCCATTTTAATAAAATAATCTTTGTTTATAGCAAACAGCCCTCCTGCTATCACCGGTGTTCTGAAATTATATGTGCAATTTGTTATCGCTCATGCATTCTTATTTGCTTATACTCTGTAAATAATTAAATATAAAACCAAACTAAACACAATGTTGGATAAAAAGTTTACACATGTCACCTCCTATTTTTTGTTCAATATCTGATATCAGGGTAAAGATAAACTTGAATTACATTCATGAAAACATATGCAACATTGTGTAATTTGTTGTAAATGTATTTCATTTTTAATAACTTAATGAAAATAATTTGTTTGAATGTAAATAAAGATGTTCCAAACTAAATATAAAAGGAAAAAACACAGCAATTATACACATCCAATTAAGTATGGCAACACCACATTTTAATGTCACCTCTTAAATCCTTTTAAATTAAGGAAGAATTTTCATATTCATATAGAATCAGATTGGTATGCAGACGGTTGCTGGGCAATCTGTGATCAATGAGGTTTCATCTGTCCTTTTAGTCACTGAGTGTACGGACCCGGCCTGCAGACTTCTGACTTCGGATAGCCAATCCTTACATATTATCACAATATAAAAATGACGTTGTTTTTGTCTATGTCTGTAATAATATGTAGTAATATATAAACAAAGAGACTGACAACCTAGTTCTTAAAATACTAGTAATATATCACCTTACAGGATCCGCTTTAGAAATTCTACGTTTACGTTCACGTTCTGGGATAGCCATCCAGTTAAAAGACGGATTATGAAGTTTAAACATGCCTACAGCTGTGTTCGGACCGCCTCCAGCTGAAAACGTCCGTGAACCTATCATGTTAATGACAGGGGCCACAACTCTTGTATTATCTTCGTGTACTCTTTCTAGCAATGGTTCAAGCCAGCCTATAGTATCAGTTTATAAAGTAAATACGTATGTTGGATGACATATTAGTTTTTTTTACGACAAACCATGACATTTGCTTTGAAACAGCGTATGTTGACCAGATTATTTACATTTTTCTCTTCGACAAGACCAGTGTTTAATTTTATATCTTAGATAAATTATCTTTCTTGTATGATTTTAACTTTTATGATAGTTATTCATATCAAATAAACTTTCAAAATAAAGACATGCATGTCCAAATCGCCCAGATCCTCCAGTACGGCAGAACACAACGGCAGAACACATATTATGGTGTTCGCATTTAGAGCAGCTGGGAAGAGAAATGTGGCCAACAAGCACTCAACTGGATGAGAAACTCTAGGGAACCTTAAGGTCCCCAGAAAACTTTACATTAAATCGCTATCGCTGTGGCTGGGGAAGGGCGAACGACAAGAAGAAGGAGAAGAAATTTATATAAATAATTAATTGCACTAGAAAGACCTCTTACTGTAAAACATAAAATCATCTAAATGTTAAATACCTGGGAAGCACTCGACGTGAGAGTCCAAGAAAGTAAGAACCTCGCCTATTGCTGCAGACACACCAACTAACCGCGCTCTTATCAAACCTACACGTTTTGTTGTTCTTAAAATGCGCACTTTCTTTAGTTTTGCCATGTAATATTCTAAAGGTTCCTTTAGGTGATCTAAATCAAATGAGCCGCGTCACGACAAAACCAACATAGTGCATTTGCGACCAGCATGGATCCAGACCAGCCTGCGCATCCGCGCAGTCTGATCAGGATCCATGCTGTTCGCTATCAGTTTCTCTACTTGTAATAAGATTGGTAAGCGAACAGCATGGATCCTGGTCAGACTGCGCGGATGCGCAGGCTAGTCTGGATCCATGCTGGTCGCAAACCCATTATGTTAGTTTTGTCGTGGCACGGCTCATTAATCATGTTTTAATGTAGCAGTTTTCCCGTCAAGTTAAAAAACACACATACGGTATGAACTAAAACAGTATTAACTGAAAAAGTGGTGTTATATCAAAACATTAACCTACATTTATAAATGATAATATTATCATATTATATTATATTATATTGAATGAAGGCATACAATTCCGTTTGTGGAAAATTTACAATTTCGACACCCGAACATTGGCTATGTCGATGATTAATATTCTTTCTTTTATCGCTTGCTTAGTTTCATGGAAATAATTTAATAATTTTGCTTATGACGAGGAAAAGCAAGCGCATTAGTTATTGCAATAACTTAAGATATGTCATTCTTAATTTCATTATATCAAAAAAGTACCCATGTCTGAAAAGTCATCAATCAGTATGATTTCTTTGATAAGATGTTCTGGTGATCTATCAAGAACGCTGTGAACAGTGCGAAGTAAAACAGACCAAGCCTCGTTGTGAAAACATATTAATACACTTGTTGTTGGAAGATTTTCCGGAAACAATCGGGAACAACTGCAAAATCGTATGCTTATATAATGTTTCATGATGTGAGTCTGTGCGTGCATGAGCGCTCATGTGTGTGATTACGAAAATTCAAAATAAGTAAGACTGAAAATTAGCAGTAGGATATAAATCGTATAAAGTTCTTAAGTACTGAGCATTACAAGATATATTTATTGTAAATACAAAGTAAATAAATCATACCGTTTCTTACAATAAATGAACTTTTTGAACAAAGAAATGATAATAACTTCATAAATCAACACACAGACTGACTATGAAAATATACTATTAAAATGATCATACCTGGGATCTCTTGTATCAGGCAAGCTTCTATGTACAGATATTTTATTACTTGCATATTCGTTGAAAGAATTTTTTCTCTCGCCGTCCATGTATTTCTGATGTTCCTCGGTGCTAAGCGCTGATTCATTTATGAATACATCTCTACCTCCTTCACCTACAAACAAAGCAATTTCATCAATTTATCTGTTTCGGTTTTAAGTCAAAGTCATATAGCGACTTTCAACCTTAAGTGGTGGAGGAAGACATCAGATGCCTCACCGTGTATTGTTTGAGACATGGGCGGGCACCTAAGTGCCAGAGTAATCAACGTTTACTTAGCTTGCAGGAAAGGAAAGTTCCTTACATGATTGATTCGAATGTTTCTGGCAGGAGCAATATTATTGAAATTCAACTGTATAAATTTGTTTATAATGAATAAACTAGAATAATTAACTTGCTCCCATTAAAAAATATCTTGTTTTCTCTTAACATTTGACATTCATATGTACATGCAAGACATCTCTTAGCAGAATGTGTTGTGTATACTATCATCATCATAGTTGTCACGTTTGTTTTACCAATCGGTTGTCAATAATATGTTAAATTAAACAGCACGAAGGAACAGAAGAAAAAGATTATGAATCTTATCTTATTATTGTATATTTACATGATTTATTATAGACATTTAGCTTGAAAGAAGCAACAGATGCTGCCCATGACACCAGCACATATCAATTTCAGACGATACGAGCCTATATGGCTGAGTAATACTATATTTAGTATTTACTTTTTAAAAGATTTAACAAATTTTACCTGGAGCATTAGGTGGCATGTAATCATAGACAGCCTCTGGGAGATTTGGTGGATTATTTAAAACATTGCTGTAATTTACTTCATATGCGTCCTGCAATCTGTTAAATACAATATTACACTGTCTACTGTAAAGTTCATGCGAACTAAAACTCATTTTATATTTGTCCCTTTAAATGCTTGTTAGCAACAATGTTAAAATTATATATATACATGTATAACAGCAATATAATAAGAATACATTTGTTGCATCACTTATGTTTCCACATAATTTATTCAAAATAACTGCAGTATACAAAATTTGAACGACAAACATGTAGAAAAAAAGTGATAATCATATGTTATATTATATATACTTAATGATCATTTAAAAATTGTATTTAATGGCATCACACAAGGACATGCATAATTTGTGACATAAGAACAATATCTTACTCTGTTGTATCATGTGTTCAAATCCTATCAGAGGCAAACTATTTTTTCCTCGAACAAGTAACTTTACACTCATTGCTATAAACTGGTTGGTTCCAGGAACGGATTCGCGATTGTCTTTAGCTTACAGCTTTCAATCAATCGGGTTAAACATATTTTGAGTAAACTAACATCTTACTCTTTATTTCGGTGTACAGCTGTAGTTGTGTTTTTCCCCTCTCCTTTACGTTTAGTGATGTTTTCACTCTGTTTGATCTTGTCTGGTTTGATTTGTGCTTCTTTCAACTCATTGTCGGTTCTTTTACTCATATTATCTTCATTTAACCTTAAAATAAAAAACAATGACAATAATGCTGTAATATCAAATATTACACATTGTACATGTAAAATGCCAGTCTCAGATTACCAAAGCAATGTATAATAAATGCTTATTCAAATATCAGAGAAAGTGTAAATTTCGTTAAGCTATAAAAACCTAGAATTGGTCATTCTAGATAAATTAATTAATATCAAGATTTGGTTTTCAAACTAACAATTATGGCATTTTTTTTTTTCTGTGGTGACAATATATTTGTGGTTTGACACAAGACATGTATGGAATCAATGCACACCAGGTAATATCGTGACACTTAAATAAAAACGATCGCAAGTACATGATATATTTACTGTAATAAATCATACCACTTTATATTATAGTTATCTGGTGTTATCCTGTCCTTATAACTATATTACTAAAACAGTTATAGTACCTCACTTTATCCTTTTGCCATATTTGGTCCTGTTCGATTTTAGCAATATTCTGGAAAGTAAAAACTGCAATTTTATTGATTTTATATCTTCCTACAAAATACGAAAATAGAGTTATATGAACATAACATAATATGATTATCATTTATATAAAAATTAAATGTCAATTTTATTAATACAATTCAATTATTAAAATGGGTTTCTTTTCTATAATCAAAGAACAGATGGACGAAAAAATCGATTTGGCGGCAGGAAAAAAAATGTCTTGTATTGATCAAAGTTTTTGTACAGATATCAAGACAAAAATATATATCTTATACCAAATAATAATGATAAGATATAATAATAATAATAGGATTGAAATAAATATATGTTATCACATGTTTTGATATATATTTTGATATATATTTTTAATATAATATAGTTTATGTATTATGAATTAGCTATTAAACTACTGATATTTGTGCCAATTTTTACACTCTAATAAGTTTCTCTCTGCAAATTATATATATTTTGATAACATATTTACATTGGAAAGATTGTTATTTTCTTCTCTGTGTTTCCTTATTTGTTTCAGTAACTCCTTAATTTCTTCTGAATCAGAAGGATCAGCCAATAAAAGTCTTTCATTTTCACTTATAAGTTTATTAATTTTGATATGATTATCTTTCGATTTGTCCATTAATGAACGAGTCAAGTTTCGTAAGAAATCAAGTTTGCTTTTTTGCTGTAATGAGTTTAGATATTTTGGTTTTAAATAAGGAAACGTTCCTTCTTCATCATGTGCAAATTGTTTAGATCCTACATGATCACCTTTCCTAGTGTCCAAATGTAAAAATATTAAAATTGTAGCCGAGGTGTAACAGAGAGCAAATGTTAGAACAGCACGTGCCGTATAAAATGTTCTTCCCATTTTTGCCAACCTTTAGTAATATTTCATAATTTCGTTTCAAAGTATTTGTTAAATTTATGTGTTAATCCGTTTTTCTCTCCATGCAATCATTTGTTTCATCCAGTCTCACACGATATAGCTATATCATTTTGATTTCATTCTTGCAAAATGAATTTTCCTATGTAAAAACATGCACGTTCCGAGTAAAGTTTGTTTAAAGTTCTTTTATTATTCACATTACACGTTTACATCTACACGGTTATTGCTATTTCTAGCAGTTGCTGGCTAACTGGTTATCAATATAAAAGATTTATACGGTGATATCAAGCTTATTATTACTATTGTTTAGTAAGATCAATGTTAAATGTTGGTTTTTGTCCCACTAACCAGCTGTTACATTGGTTTCGTGCACGGACTAATCCAAATTTAATCTACTTGTACTTATACAGTGATGGTATATTTTCAATATATTAAATCAAAATTACATTATATATCTATGTTAGATGTTAAAGCAGAAATTTAAACAATTGAAATAGCGAAAACAGCACATATAGTTTCTAATCATGTTAAAAGTTATTTATCGGATAACGTAAAACTTGTTATAATAAAGTATTTTAAACGGCCTAAATAATATTGACTGTTACATTTACAGGCTGTTACAAATATTTGAATCAATAAATTATTTGCAATATATGGTGAAAAGAAGTATCTTTAAAAAAGATACTCGGCCGAAGTCAAACTTGTTAACTTGCATAGGATAAGCTTCCACTAACCATGCTAACCGCAAAGAGAACATTTTATTCGTCCTAGTTTTATTTCAGTTTATTTTTAGCAGTATCGAACTTACACTCATTCAATATACTCTGTTTATCACATACCTGTGTCGCTTTGCGTCTCCGTAATCGTGTTTATTAAACGCATATGACGTCACTCAAAGAATTTACACGACCGTGCAATATCACTTTTTACGGAGACGCAAAAGCAGCATTGGTATGTGAGATAAACAGAGTATATGGAATGAGTTTTTTTAAGTTAACCCTTTCCCACATGAGCATATTGTGAAAAATGGCCGTTTTCAGTGAAAAGCCTCCGGTTACAATTTCAAACTGCTATGAAACTATGAAAACTGCTTCAATACTAATCAAACTTGGCACAAATGATGACTGGACCATTGCCTTTGTAAGGACATGCTCTGTCTTAAACACCCCCCTTCTCGCAACCCCCTGAGAGATCTTTTCGATGGGGGACGGCGCCGAAAAAGTGCTCACCTTTTTAGCAACATTTCTCAAACGAACACATGTGTTTGGGGTCCAAATAGGACATTTTTTTCACTATTTCAGGCCTAAAAAGTGGGGGGGGGGGGGGTCGAAAGTGCGTTTTTTCGCGTATATATGAGGTAAAGGGTTAATGAAAAATATTAAACTCAAACCTTTTTTAGGATGTACATTATTAACATTTAAAGGGAGCATACTTTATCACAGGTTTAAATCTTTTTTTATTTTAATCATCTTTTTATTATTATTTTTGTTCGCCAGTGTTATCCATTCATTCCCATTATGAACTAAGACTTCAAAGAAAGTGTATATATATACACATGTGTACGCAGTATCATAATGTCTATTTCCTGTAAATAAAGAAAAAATAATAAAGATTGAAGATATATTTGTGAAATAGATTCTACAATAAACTAACCTCCAGCTGTGTAAAACTCTCAGTTTAATCGACAATTTCTTAATTTCTGTTACATTTCAACGCTGTGAGTACGCAGTATCCAGAATCAAAATCGCATTCAACGCGAAATACTGACAAGAAAGGGAAGATTTGTGTCAAGGCATTTGGAATATTAAAGCTAGAAGTAAGGACATCTTCTTTGCAAAAGAAATTAAATTCAAATCTATACTGATTGCTTTAAATGACTCGTTTTTGTTCAAAATATCGGATGAAAATGTGTTCGCGGTATCAGAATTTGGAGGATGCGCGCGCATGGCATAACGCAAGCTCTTCTAAAGTTTCAATCGAACAGGCTATTAGTGTTAAAATGACCAATGAAAGTTCTGCCTATATTCATTTCTTAACTGTTAATTTAAGCGGAAGTCAAGGTGAAATCGGACGGCCTTCGGTCGAATAAAAAACTAAAATAATTATTAAAAATTTCTAAAATGCCATATTAGATACACATTGGTGACAAATAATAGTAAGATTTTCGCAGAACCTTGCAGTTCACTTTTCAACTGGACACATAGATACCTGATTAGATATTTTCGTGAGATCATATTTGGAATTAAGTATTTGGAATATAAATGTAAAGCTGATATCACCTATGACCACCTTGGTAGTCCAACCATCCATCCATATTTCTGTTACTTACTGCGAATTTATATAAGACCTCAGGCTGGCTTTGTTAAAAGTAAGCGGCCGCCATTTTTAAAAGTCGTGTATTTCACGGGAGAAAAATAATTGTGTTTGATTCAGAGGGATATCATTTTGATTTGTAAGTCATGCCCCTTTTTAATGAAAGAACATTTAGTTGAGGATTGTATCAGACAATAAATAAGTGTTGACAGATGTGTAAACATTCAAAAAGCGGCTAGGAAATTGGAAAACTTGGAATTGTTGTAAGGCTGCCTTACGAACGCTGGGTTGTTTACTTATTCTTCGGGCTGATGGCTGTCATTGCTTTCGAAGTTTTCATAAAACATACGGCAGTTATTGCTCGTAGGATACTTAAATGTACCCAAATGTCATCAAGAACAGTTTTGCGTGTGGAAGAAATGTATTTCTCAAACTGTAAAAATGAAACACAAAAAAATAAGAGACGATATTTGGTGATTGGTAATTTGAATGAATAGAAGTAAGTTTTCTTCCTTTTATTACTTTTGACATTTAAGATATTTATCAATTTCAGCATTGCTTTTCTTTAAACATACTGGCATTATCAGAATTGTCAGCAAAAATAAAATTAAGGTACCACATGAGGGAAATCTTAGAAAAGTAGTTTCCTCATTGAAAAGTGTGAAATTATATTTTGATAATATACCCTGTGAAATTATCAAATATAATTTTCACTGATAAATCAGTAATCCACTGAAATGCATAAAAAAGAAATTGATATTTTGGTAAGAAATATAATGTCGATAATACTGTTCACTATATATCTTAATTATGCTGTTTATGTGATTGTATGGTAATATTTGGAAAGCTAGAAAAAAGATTATTCAATCCTGACAATATACCGTTTATTATAATAATAAGGTCAAGACAACACAAACAGCTTTATGACTATTGTGCTTTTAAAGAATACTTTAAAGGTAAATGATCAACATAGTAATTAATACTTAAGAAAATATTAAATCTGACAGTACTTTTCAGGTTTCATGTTTGACGTTACACAATTTATTGAACAAGCGGTTTATATATGTTAAATTATCTTTATATTTAAAAATGCTTATCATTCACAGAGATAACAAATCTTAAATGGACATTTTTCATCAATAAATCTTTGCAGTATAAGTACCGGACTGTTGTATGGTACAATCATATTCTCGTTCACTATTGTCAATTCTATATAATCAAAACTGATGAATTTGACTGGTATTCTTTCATGATTTATTTAAAAATCAGTACTACTCGAAATAAATTATTTTTAAGTTGGCAGAAGATTAAGACATAATAGACTGTCCTACATGTATGTCGTGTTATGCGAGTATGTCCGAAAAGTGATATAAACTGCCCCTATAATGTCCAGTAGTATTTGTGGCTTAGCGCATTATTTTGCGAGTTTGTCAGTAAAAACATGTGTAGCACACTTTACCTGATCATCACCTTGTACTGCCATGTCTTATATTATAGTTATCGGTTTCAAGGCATGATAGTGATAACTAATATCCATAACATTTAGTACAAAAATGAGACTGTAAGGTTAAAAAATTATCGGTCGACGAACTTACATATAAATGATATATTTAGATTACAAATGACATAACATTTTATATCATAATTTTCTAACTGTGGTCAGTGACATATATGACACGTCTCTTTAATATCATATGACATTTATATGTGCCTTTAACAACGAGATTTATTGTTATTGTGTCTTGTTTTATTTCACGTGAGAATACACACAGACTGGGTTTAAACAATGCAAGATAGATAACTCAGATTATTCGTATAACTTAACTTAATTAACGACATGCTCTTATTATGATAAATTCGTTGCAAGTGTTTGCATGAAAACAAAATAAAGCAAGATTGTAACGTCAAAAATGGTTAATGAAATGGTACGTAGAAGTACGAAGGTACGGTTGAATTTGTTTAGATGCACCTCACAAGATCTCATGATGTTGCTGCCGTGATAGGAATTATATCATGTTTGATCTTACAGTTTAAATAAGTACATATCATGTAAGCATCTTAGTTTTTGGTAACGTTTGTTCGTTCGTATATGTTCCTTATTATAGAGCACGAGGACTCTTTTGTAAAAAAACAACAAAAAAACCCCTAAAAACAGAGACAGCATAGACAGATAGTAAATAAAGTCCATAATATGATAAAGAAATAAAGAGAAACAAGCAGAAAGAAAGAGAAATTATTAAGCTATGGTCAAAGTATTTATTATAAATGTTCTAAAATATAATTTCATATGTAATAATAGCCAATCGTACATTAAACTTTTGCATTAACTTTTTAAAGAAAACACAATATTAATGGATGTAAATATATTTCACCCTTGGTAACACTCTTATTAATTGTACAGTAGTTACAATAGTTTTTCTATAACATCAAGTTGTTTTATAAACAAGTGGTCCCAGGCGAAGGTAGCCGTCTATTAATATAAGTTTCAACATAATTCAGGTCATATGACGCCGAAACATGACAGCCATGGGTGTTACAAACTTAAAGCAACACCATGGGTCAATACCACCTAACCTGCTAGAGCTTAGAAATTCTTAGACTACAGTCGAACCCATTTAGTCGCCTCTTCACGCAGGGATAACCGGTCACTGGCAACCCTTCAGCCACAGCGGGAAACATACACTTATAAGAGCAATAATTGATACAGGCATTACTTTAACATGGTCTCTTAATATACACAACATCTAAAAGTGAAAAAGAAGAAAAAAGAGAAGAAAAAAACACATCGGCAGCGTCCTGTAAACGTTCATTTTATCTATATTTGTGCGACTATTGAAATCCCGTGGGCCAAGACAGTCATGAATTTGTAACTCTAAATATTAAAACGTATTTATTGCTTAAAACAACATAAATCTAGATAATTTCTTGTTTTGAAGGTCGTTGTTGTTGCATGTAT